TGATTTCTGGTGCATGGCCCTATGTTCTAGATCCTAAAAAATAAAAAAAAAAATATGTAGGGGTAGTGGGTTAACCCGTAAACGGTCCAAACACATATATAACGTTTTTTCAACATTTGAAAGTATGTAAAAAAGTAGATCTTTTTGTTTTTCTACATCTGAAAATGTGTAAAAAAAACTTAGATCTACTTTTGTAGCACTACACGTGAACGTAGATCTGCTTGGACCATTTACGGGTTAAATGAGTTGTTTTTGTTTGGTAGGACATGGGGGTATGGAATGTGGGGGTACGATACATATGTGGAAGTGCTGGGATATGCATGGATTTGTGGTAGGCGGGGTTTAAAATGTATGAGGTTGGGGGGAAGGTCGAGAGGGTAGATGAGGGTAAGGAATGAGGATGGTAGTTGGTTGAGTAAAGTGGATGTTGGGTTTGGGAGAGAGGGGGTTGGTGGGGGGGAGGAGGGTGGGTGGGGAGGGAGGATGTGGTGTGTGTGGTTTGTGGGTTAAAGTGGAATTTGTATGAGTTGTGTGGGTATGTGTGTGGTGGTGTGTTATGTGAGATGCTGTATTGTAATTTCAGTAGGTGGTGTGTATGATGTTGTAGTGTATGTGAAATGTGTGTAATGTGGTGTCCAGATATTATTTGTGTGTTGGGTGAGTTAGTTGGTGAGTGTGTGTGGGTATGTGATGTGTTGATGTGTGTATGTTTATTATTGTAATTAATGGTGGGTGTGTGTGTAGGTGTTTGTGCAGTGTTATTGCTTGTGTGTGTGTCAATTTTGTGTGTGTGTGTATGTGTGTGGTGTTGAAGTGTAGTCTGTTGTGTTACATGGATTGTGTGGCTATGAGTCGTCTTTGTGTGTAAGGTGTAATTAATTTTAATGTTTGTTGTCATATGTTGTGTATTGGCTGTATTTGTATGAGCAATAGATGTAACCTTTGATAGGTTATTTAAGTGAAAAAAAAAAGAAAAATAGGAATGTTAAGTGGTGGTGTGACTTATTGTACCTTAATGTCCAATAGTGATCTATTTTTTGTAGTATGTAAAAATAGTGATCTTTTTTTTTACATTTGAAACGTAAATAAAACTGATCTGTTTTTTTTATTTATATTTGAAATATATAAGAAAAGTGATGTTTTGGTGCTATGCTATGAACGTAATGCTGTGG